AACCTCTGCGGGGTGGGCAGGTGGGGGCTCTCATGGGAGGGGGGGGGGCGTCCTGGTTTGTGCATCAAGGACGAAGTGATGCTTTTTTAATGTCGTTGAACAACTTTGATTTGAGGTTCTGTCTGCAGATGTGCTCGGTAACGGGGGATGCGGACCGCTCTGCGCTCCCGTTGTAATTACGGAAGCCTTCGGGGGGTGAAACAGCACTGCAGATAGAAACACCGAATCACACTGTGAACTGAGCTGCATGCAGAACATTTCTGGATATTAATAACTTTCACTCTCTCTGTTGCACAATTTAGCTACAGGAAAACATTCTCTATAAGGCTGGTTCCCAACCTTTATCCTTAATGGAGTCCTTTTTCTATCATTGATTAGGTGTTTATGGGTATTTTATATTATATTAAACAATAACAACAACAGAGTGACTGTTAAACTGATAAACTGTACAATGAACCCAAGTGAACACAATAACTGCAGGAAGTTTGGATTAATATTGATCAGAGATTAGTTTGTAGGTATTTTTAGGAACGTTTTTATATAATTATCTGTCTTTATTATGTATGTATTATTATTTTTTATTAATAAGATTATTTTCGGATATAAAATGTAGTTTTTGTCTCCCCGTCACTTGACAATTGTTCTATTAGCTTTCTGGTTGTTTCCTAATGCAGGACGATGCTGTTTATAAGAGAGTGAATATCTGTGAATGTAACTTCATCAAATCTTAAATTATAATCTACACTTAAAAATAAAATAATTTCATTTAGTTTAGTCACAGAAATGACATGCTGACACATACTGTGTGTATTTTACACCCATTAAAGCTGCACTAGGTAACTTTTATAAAACAATTTTGTCATATTTGTTTGTCATATTTGCTGAAACGTTCACTGAATCCTGACAGTAGTTCATGAGACAGATAATGTGTGAAAATATCAGGTTCCTCTGGTTGTTCTGGTGCTCCTAATGACATCAACAACAATCAACCATCATTCTGGTTGTTTTACAGAACATCAGTCTCATGTTCTACTGACAGGTTCAGTGAAAGTTTCAGCAAATATAACAACAAATTATTTACCTACTGCAGCTTTAAAATCAAGAAGGCCTCCCCGACCCCAGGTTATGAACCTCTGCTCTAAACTACCCCCCCCCCCCCCCCCCTGTGTGTCTCTGCAGTGATCAGACCCCCAGTTTGGTGAGTGAAGATGATTCCTGTGCTGATCTGTGCTTTGATCTCACTGAGTGTAGCAGACAACGACTTGGACACTCTGTACCCAGAACTGGAGCACTCGAGGACCATCTATGTCATCGGTGAGGATTCATTCATATGTGTGTGTTTGTGTCACATCCGGAGAGAGACCGTCTCTCTCCGCCGTCCTTCTCTGAGTTTCGTTCACGACACTCACTCTGCAGCGTCGTCTGTTTCCTCACTTTATCAGTCGGTTGTGCCGCTGCGGCTCAGAGATAACGCTGCTATGTGGGGATTGTTAGCTCAGCGAGATTAGAGTTATCTCCTCCGCTCTCGCAGGGGATGAAAACTTTGTTTGAACGCGTCAAGATTTCATAGCTGAGGAGATACAGCGTACAGAGAATCACTGGTAAATTATTCATAAATTAATTATTTTAAGGCTTTAAAGGGGAGCTATTATTCCAGCAGACAGCTTCAGTAATTTAGCGATGTGAAGCAATGAATTTGATGAATTCACTGTTGTACTAACAAATGACTTACTAACTAGTATCAAATAAAACATTTACAAACTAAGTCAGTCCTTCCAGTTTGCAACAGCAAAGTATCTAATAACCAATAACTACATAAAAACCAAGTAAGTAAGTAAAAACTACCGAATGACTAACCAACTAACACATCACTAACTAACTTATATCAACCTACTCTGGTCATTTCCAGCAGACATCTTCAGGAACTATTCCTGAATTTTTATGTTCTCCAGTAATTTCATTGCAAAAAACGCCTCAAAATGTCGCAATTTTTTAGAAAAGCTGCCGTGAAATCTGATATTTTAGGCTGCAAAGATCCAGGCCTGTGAAATCCTGAAGGGACTGATAATAATAATAAATAAGCAAGCCAAAATGCAACTACTAACCTAAGATTAACTATTTAACTTTAACTTACTACTTCATATCGACCTGTTCTGCACATTTCCAGCAGACAGCTTCAGTAAGTTGACTGTAACAATAGAATTTGATGAATGTTTTGCTGAATAACTAACTCATATCTATAGCTGTGTGTCAGTGCTTTAATGACTACATAAACTCTGTAAGTGATGGCAGAAACACACAGTTGCATCACGTTACAGAACATGGGATCAATGTGCCGTCAGCTGGTGCTTACGCAGCAGACGCGGTGAAGCCGGTCTGAGGAGAGTCTGAAAACCCGGTTAGTGACTGAAGGTCACAGCAGCCGATGAACCAACAGTGTGTACGTTCTGTAACACTTAAACACACATCACTTGGCAGGTTGACAGGTGATAGGACATTATTTAATAGTTCCACTGGAGGATTCAGGTATCGATTTATCTCATCTATCTTTTATTAGTATTGTTGTAATATAATTAATGTTTCTTTATATGTTCAGTTTTATGCTAAGCTAGGCTAACGTCCTGACTCCAGCTCTGTATTTAACATAGACATAAGATTATTGGAGATCGATTTCCCAAAATGTTTTAACTCTTTAAAGTCAAAGTACATCAATATGAATAACTATATATGTTTTGTGTTGCAGAGAACGGCCCCCGACTGTCGGTGGCGGCAGAACAATTGAAGGTTGTGTCGAGACGAGGCGGAAACGCTACTTTACCATGCAGGATCCAAAGGGACCAATCGATGGCACCGAATCGGAAGATGAGGATCAAATGGACCAAGTTGACCTCAGACTACCTGAAAGAGGTTGTTATCCATTTCTGAATATCCAATTATTAAATCATACATTTTAACCTGTTTAACCTTTTTATGCTAAGCTAACTGGCTGTAGCCTCATATTTAAGGTGGTATCAATTTACTCAACTCTCAACCAGAAAGCCAACAAACTTATGTCCCAAATTGCCAAACTTTTGCTTTAAACTCTCTTCTGTAGGTACAATATCCGGATTATAAAGTGAGCAGCAATGTGAAGCGTTAACAGACTGATCCTCCTTCCTCTTTCTCCAGGTGGATGTTTTCGTGGCCATGGATTACCACAAAAGAAGTTACGGCAGTTTCCACGGACGCGTCCACCTGCAAGGCTCCTCTCCCATGGACGCCTCCCTGGTCATCACAGAAATCACCCTGGAGGATTATGGGAGATATAAATGTGAAGTTATTGACGGGCTGGAGGACGGAACAGTGGTGGTGTCCCTTGACCTAGAAGGTAAAAATCGGCTGAACAGGAATTAGGTTTTTGTCTAAAAACAAAGTGCCCATTAAACGTCACTGTACTGCAGTCGGCCTAAATTTAGCAGCATGAGCGGCGACTGCTTGGGGGAAAGTCAGGAGCAAGTGTAAGCATAGTGTACATCAGTGTCAGAGCAGCTTCATTATGTTTAAGAGTAGGCAGCCATTACTGCCTGAAGCCAGAAGGTGCTGGCACCGGACTGACAGAGGAACAGCTGTGCTTACACAGCGAGACTGGCTCTCAGTCTTTCGGTTAAATATCAGGATAAAACACCAGAGGACGGATCCGAGTGTCTCCTAACAGGTTGTCTATCACATCTGTTTCCACGTAGGTGTCGTCTTCCCCTACTACCCCCGTCTGGGTCGCTACAACCTCAATTTCTACGACGCCGAGCGGGCGTGCCGGGACCAGGATGCCATCGTGGCGTCCTTCGACCAGCTGTACGAAGCGTGGCGAGGAAACATGGACTGGTGCAACGCCGGGTGGTTGAGCGACGGCACGGTTCAGTATCCCATCACCACCCCCAGAGAACCCTGCGGAGGCAAAAACACGGTGCCGGGGGTTCGCAACTACGGCCTGAGAGACAAAGAGAAGAACCAGTACGATGTGTTCTGCTTCACTTCCCACTACAAAGGTGTGTGTGTGTGTGTGTGTTTGTGTGAGTGTGTGTGTGTGAGAGAGTGTGTGTGTCATTAAAAACCTGTTTCAATTTTATATCCCTTTGTCTTTTTATCTCCCCAGGTCGGTTCTACTACCTGATCCACCCCTCTAAGCTAACTTACGACGAGGCGGTCAGGGCGTGTCAAAAAGACGGCGCTCAAATCGCCAAGGTCGGGCAGATGTATGCCGCCTGGAAGCTGCTGGGCTACGACCGCTGCGACGCCGGTTGGTTGGCTGATGGCAGCGTCCGTTATCCTATCTCCCGCCCCCGCCGGCGCTGCAGTCCCACGGAGGCCGCCGTGAGGTTCAGCGGCTTCCCCGACAAGAAGCATAAGCTGTACGGAGTCTACTGCTTCAAGGGCCACAACTGAGCCGCTAACGCACACTCAGACGACCCCGCAAACACACATCAGCATGCACACACACATTCACACGCTAGTGAACACGCTAGTGGAGTGAACGAGAGACAGAGGAGGGAATTCGGAAACACATTCAAAACTGTGACGCTTTATTTCATGGAAGACGTTAATGTCATGTTGTTGCTTTGTAATCGGGGACCTACGAGGGATAGTTTACACATATTTAAGGTTCATATTATTTAATCAATGCCTTTGAAAGGGGGGTGGGTGGGTTGTTGTGGGAGGGGAGGTGAGGGTTGGAGGATAACACAGCCATCCAACGACGGACCAGACTCGTCATCGTCTGAACTGTGTCAAAGCAAACTGACTCATGGTTGGACGGATACTTCGGGCACTTAATCTCGTTTCGTTCAAGACCTGGAACAACAGCAGCGCCATGAAACACAGCTGAAAACACACCAAAACAAAGAAATCCGGTGCTGAAGGGGAAGGAATTACGAGCCTAGCACAACTTAAGCGATCTCTGCTGTCCATACCCAACAAGGTGCTACGACTGGTACTTTGTACTTCATCATACTGTCCAGTATTTTATGTTTTTATACAAATGTGTTGGACCAAACATCAGTCTCATCACCGAAATGATCCAAAAGATCCAACTGTTAGTGTTTATGTTTTCTAAGTACGTAGATTGTTAATCTAGAAATGTAATTCTGTTTATTTTTTGATATACTGTAGAAATACTTACATTATTATTTTTTGTCTTTTTGGCCAAACCTATCCAAGTCTCTTTGGTTTACATAAAACATAACATAACAGTGGAAAAAACAAAACAAAAACAAAACTCCACAACAGTAAATTTAATTTAAAAAAAAAAAAAGGATTTTTGCACTGAACCTGTAGAAACGAGGAGCAAACAGCAGCAGTAGAAAATGCCTGGCCTGAATAAAAACAGTGCTGCAGAGTACAAGTATCTCTCTGTTTGGCTTGAGCATGACTTAGCTTCTACAAGCAACTCTCAGTGTAGCCATACGCTCACTATCTAGCTAACGCCTTGATAAACTGCTATTTTTGATACAAATACTGTAGTTTCTTAGAGTGAATGAGCAGAGCCAAGATTAGCCCCATTTGTGACCGCGGCAACAGTTAATAGTTGAACTTCAACTGATCAGATCAACAAACCAGAAAAAGTAATCAAACTCTTACCGAAGTAATTCGGGAGAAGAGCGAAAACATCTTCTTTCGATAAAATACTTTAACTATCAGTTCTGATGTAACTGATGCTGCCATTGTTCTTGCTGCGTCACGCCTCCCGTATCTGCCTCAAAGGACGCTGATTGGTCCCGTACAACAGCACCAAGCCTGGAAAGATGGATTCTGACGCGATTTTCTTGTGATTTTTTAATCTCACGAGTCAAGCTGCCTCGCCTCTAACTCCACGAATCTGTTTAATAGAGTTCCCTATGCAAACCTTTGGGGAAAAAGGTCAAAATTTAAACTGTATTTTTGTGATTCTCACGAAAATCTGAGATTTGACACCACGGACGACGAGAAGTTTATCAAAACGCTCTGAAGACACTTCGGAAACAGTGGGTGGGATTTGAAGATGAGCAGACGATGGAGCCAAACTGCGCCGCAGACGTGACGTCATAAAGCCGTGCCCGGTGGAATTTTGGTGTTAAACTAAACCAAAACCAGCTGCCAAATTTAAAGTAGACATCTGTGCAATCCCAAAAATTGTGTTGGTTTTCCCCCAGAGGTTTGCACAGGGAGGGAAAACTGAGTTGTGACACAGTAACGTACGAACGGTTGAGGTCACAAATGGGACTAAGCCAGGACCCGGAGTGAGCGCGGTTTTCCTGGCAGCGACCGGCTCCCTGATTGCTATCTCAGCTCTGCAGCGGCCGACCTGTCTCTGAGGCTCCGATTAGACCCAGCGGGCCGACAGCCAACCTGCACCAGTCTGCTGAATGAGACAGAAATACAATACATTCAAAATACCAATAATTCCTGCATGGAGGCACTAAAGGGCTTCTTCCATGTAAGGGTATCAGAGAGTAAACGGTGCACATTGATCAAGTGTAAGCTCACCGTACACGGTCCCAGCTGGCCCGGACACTGGTTTAGGTCATCCACTTGGGCCTGGTACAGGGTTTAGCTTTACTTGGCTCCACCTTTGACAAGCCACTGAGTCCTGCTACGCTTATCACTGAAGGACAAACTCATAAAAATAGCTCTCTGTTGCCTTGTGGGAACTAAATGGTGATTTTACAGAACAGCAGCTGTGAAGTAAACACTTACTGAAGAGTTATGTGCAGTGTTGCAAAACTAAAGAGATTTGTTCCTTTTAATTTGTGTTATTTTCACTTATTGTAAACAATTTGCAAACCAATGTTAAGAGTCAGCTTGTAAAAGGAATAGTTTGATATTTTTTGGGAGTTCAAGCTCACGGAAAGACTTCACAGCTCGTAACTCAATACTTGTTGCGTTTACATTTCTGTTCTGTCCTGTGTGTACGAGTTATATAAACAAGATGTCATTTAGTAAGATTTTGAGGTGCTGACTAAAACCACTCTCATTAAAGTTAACCAGCTGGTTAGCCTAGTTTAGCACAAATACTGGAAACGGGGAAACCATTAAAGAATCCACAAAAACTCTAAAGCTCACTAAGAATCTCTGGTTTCGTTCTGCCACTAGTGGTTCTCTCCCATCAAAAGATGAAGTTTGATGACGTGGTGAAGCAGCGTGGGATCATGGGAGTTGTTGTCTTCAGTTCACTGCTTTCCCGACGCTGTTGGACAAAGACAAAGACCGCCCCCGGAGGCTGCGAGCCGAGTGCCTGCTAACGTACTCCAGCTTGTTTCTCTGATAACTAAGACCAGACGTCCGAATGACTAAAATCCTTCATTCGGTTCAATCTAGAGTTAAAAAGCACCAAAGAATCTAAACAGTCGGATGTGGTAAAAATGTGGCTTCAGACTGGATAAACAGTCAATGTATGACAGCTTCTGGCAGACAACCACAACACTGACGCAGGCACAAAGGGGATATGACGCCATCGAAATAAATTTTAATGTGGAAATGTTAAATATAACAGCTTTAAATGAGAAATATGTTAATCAGTAAGCCTTGGGAGGAGCTGATGGGCAGATTCTCTAAACTGCGTCCTCCTGCTTCCAGTATTTATGCTAACCAAAGCTAATCTTCTGCTAACTCAAGCTTCAATTTGTAGCGCACAGACATGAGAAGTAAAGATCTGACGTGTATTTCCCAAACTGTCAAACTATTCCTCAAGAGACTTGAAGGATCCCAGAATCTGTTGCCTTTTATTTTGTGTATAATCTGACCACCAGGAGCCTTGTTAATAACCGCAAGGAAACCTTAGGGACCCAAAGACAAAAGGACAATAAAACAGTACATAAACCACGACTCTGCCTCCGTCTCTTTACACAGGGCTCATTGAGTTCGCCCATTATCCGAAATACATCACCACAACTTTCGAGCAATTGCACTGCAGTTCCAAAATAAAAGTCAGCAGAGTTCATATTGGCTGGAGCTGCCAGGTGTAGTTCCTGGGTGATGCAGTAATGTGCGTCCGAAGGGAGGGCGGCTGCTCGCACACAGGAACAGCGAGGCCATTCATGGTGTTGCTTTCAGTTGATTCTGTGACTGAAATACAGTTTGTGTTGCCAAAGCTCGGGACTGAGTGACAGCACGTTGGTGACGACGTGGGTTGTTGATTCATGTTCTCACGCTGATTTTCCATGAGGCTTTTTGTTTGAATGCGGTTCGGTGGGATAACACAGGTGTGACTACAGATATGCTGATATATACATTTTACTACGATATTGCAAAATCTAAGTGAAAGCTCACAGTTTACAGTAAATAACTTATTTATTTACTGTAATAAATACGGTAGAACTTCTCTACTAGTACGGTAAAAGGATATTAGTACTGTAGATTTTACAGGTTTCTGCCATGAGATATTACAGTTTTATGTGCAATTTACAGGCTGAAACTTCATTCAAGATAAATTCCTATATAGTGCCGTATAGTAAAGGTTTTACTTTACTCGTAAAAATCCACTTCCTGAATTGGCCACAGTACAGACTAAAATACAATTAACATTTTCCAGGACAACATAGATTATTTCCAGGATTTGAAATCCATTTTATGCAGCAAAGAATCTGTATATTTCTTAGCTCAAACCATCCATTTGATGAATATAAGTCCAGTATTCACTCTATTTAAGCTCTGTTTAAGCTCAGTGTTTGGTCTCCACCAACTCCTGAGGGAAATATCTGGCTCTTCAGCTGCTAAATGCTCCATGATGTTCACCAGCAACTAACTAGAAGGGCGGATGAATCCTTTTTGAACTCTCTTCTTCTTTGCTAAAAAGGTTTCAGGGCCTTAAACTCAGCAGCACAGTGACATCTGGTGGTTTGCAGAAGTTATAGCAGCAGCTTAAGACTGAAGCCAAAGTGCAGAATCAAAGTTGGAAGGTTACTTCTTGTTTATACATAATATTATTATTATTAAAGTAACCATGTGTAGAGCTGGTACGTAAGTAACACTTCTCGGGTAAAGATATCGTGATTTAATAATAATAATATGCATAAAGTATCCTGGACCTCTACTTTAGAGACATTTGATCCATTGTTAATCGAAAAATATTGATTAGTGCAGCTTTAAGGACACAAAGGAAGTCAGAAAGTACTAATGGAAGGACTGACACATTGTTGGTTTTTTCATGGGATAAAGAATAAAACCACACAAACACAGGTTGTGTTATAATAGCTCCTATTATTGCACACACAGCAATGACAATGACATTGAAACCAGGAGGATTTTTACAGCAACTCAAATGGAGAAACAATGATTACATAAAAAATAAGCTCTTGTGCCACAGATACAGTGAACCTCATTAACCAAGTGGAGTAGAAAAATACTTAAAAAAAAATGCATATACATTGAAGAACAATATATAAAAAGGAAAATGTATGAAGAACATGAAGGTCGAATGCAAAAAGATCACATAAAAAAATCTTGTGGAGGATGTAGAAGTTGTCTCGATGCACATTATTTCACATTCCCTTATTGGTTGGATTAAAAACACAGATTCCAGATCTGAAGAAAAAGCAACATCTCACAGTCCCTCCAGCTGAAAACACTTTGATAACTTAAAACAATCAGGAGCCTTTTGGTGGTGAATTCGTCAGGTTGATTTTGAGTCACAGCACGATAAGAAAATCAACAGCTTGAAAAGATAACATTGCTCAACAAACGGGTGCCACGCTAAGGTTCGCTTAGACGGCCCGATACGCCGACACCCAGATAGTCCAAAAAAGGTCCCATTGGACGGAGAGTAGAATTGTTCTGATACCAGGACAGGAATCGGTGAGTACTCGTGTCTGTGCACCAATCTGATACCACATAATTACTTTGCCCCGAAACGAGACCCTGATACTTCCCCGCAGTGCTCCATTTTCTTTCCCAAGATGGCAAAGTCATGACTCACCCCACTCTTCTTAAGAAGTTCAAACAACAATGATAGGAATCATAGAGGTTTAGTAGTGTACGCTTGTTAATCAGATCCGTATCGGAATGTTTATCTGCCCGTTATCCCGTAAACAAACGCCCATTCAGTCCCTCCAGGATTTAATGTTTTTTTGGGATCGTTGCAGCCAAAAATGCCTGATTTCAAGGCAACTTTTTAAAAAATTGCAGTGTTTTTAGGCATTTTTTGCATTTAAATTGTGTGAAAATTCTCAAAAAATCCTGAAAGATTGGAGGCAACTTGTTCCGGTAACAATCTGCAGTATTTTGGTGACGTAATGTTTTGGGACTGTTGTGATTGGTGAAAACAAAGATTGGACAAAACTGCGGAAATTCACAGACATTGGTTGAATTTGCGTTAATTGTTACGATTGCAATATTGATCTTTTCCTACATTTAATCAAGTAGCTTTGGTACCTAAACCTTATTGTTACCATAAAGAGCAAGAAACTCCAGTTGGCTTTTGTTTTTGGAACAGGCTGTCAGACTATTGGGGTTTTGGTCCAATGGGGTCCAATTGTTCGGACTATTGGGGTTTTGGACTCGAGGGGCGTGGGAACAATGGGCAGTCCCCAACTAAAGCAATGTGCAGCTAACATATATGAGCATTTACTACTTGATAAGATGTTTTTCATTACAGAATCTGTAAACAGCAAGAAGTCATCATTAACAGAATTGCTTCAGTTCCAATGACCTTTATTTAATATCACAGTCCATTCATAGTTTTAAAGTATACAATAAGTTAAATTCATATGGCTTCATATAGTATCTATATTATAAATCCTATGATTAATAGCCACAGCACATACACACACCACACATTCATAATAATCTCCTCTTCAGCTCCGTGTGTGCCGCTCTTTAAATCTCCCCTTTAAAAAACCCTTTTCAAAGCTGAAATATTTTGTACAAAAATCTACATTAGTCGACCTGCCAGCAATGCAAACCCGGAAATGTCGAGTTACCCAAAGTTTATTGTTAGAAATGTACAGTATGAGTCCCCAGCTTATAGAAAGTGAAAGATGATACTTTATATGTCAAGCAGATTTGCATAATTAGCATTAATCGGCATAATCACCGATATGGCCGAGGATTCAGCGTCTTCAATAACCTCCAAAACCACTTAAATATTGTCTTAATCAGCCAAGCCCATGATTAGGTGATTACTCTAATGCTAATTACTCAACATATGCATGTTTCCAAATGCTGGGGACCCAAACTGAACAACATGAAACTTTGGTGTACTCAACATTTGTGGGTTCACATTTGACAAACAGACAACATCGGGGAATCAACCAGTAAAAATGGGTTGTAACAAACAGCACGAACTGAGACTGGACAAACTGATGATAATAATTTAAAGTGATGATCTCATGCTCTTTATAGACTATCAATGACATTATCTAAATCCTCTAAACTACTGGATAAAACATAAACTTCAGTGAGTAATGTGTTTCTGTGAGACTGACGCTGCAACGCTCATCTTGTATGTGCCAGATTTTTCCAAAAAATAAAGGCACCGTGTGGAGTTAGTGACCACTGGGAGGTTTGAGTATCCGGTACAGATAACGTACACTTACTCTTGTGATCAATGACGTTGATCTGAAGCTCAATTCTAAGGCTGTTCTGCAACTTCTGATCAACCCGTATCGATATCAGGCTTAAATTAACCTCCAGTAAGCACCGCCCACACCGGTTTAAGCACCGCCCATTACGAGTACGGATACCTCGTCACGTGATTTTGATGACGCGTGAAATTGAGGTGGAAGGCAGGAAGAGAAGAGCAGAAACGATATTAGAGAGAAAGGTACAAAAATCACAACATATGTTGGACGTCATTCTTGACCTTTCTGACGTCGTTAAATGTCTTCAAAGCCACCAGACACCTTTGATAAAAACAATAATTTTACCTCACAGGACACAGGAAGTGTCGGTTTATAGCTGCCTCCATCGGTTTGTTTGTTCCTGTTCGACTTTGGTGTTTTAACGCATTAATTCAAATCCAAACTAATATTAGCATCTGAAGCAGCGGCGGCCCTGAAACTCCTGTGTTCTCTGAGGTAAAATTACTGTTTTTTTCTGGTTGCCCTACAAAAATGTGATTTGGTTAGAAACAATTAATGCAAACATAACTTTTGTTCACAAAAAAAAAACTCCACAGGGTACCTTTAAAACACGATGACAGAGACCGGGTTCGGGTCCTCTATCAGGTCAGGGTTTAGTGTGTTCAGTCCCACACAGTGAAGCCATTACGGCACCAGTCTTCCTCAGACTCGTGAACTAACTTTATAAAACGAAACTAAACTCTCACTAGTGTTACGGTTCAGATCCTGGAGTGTTTTTGGACAATGTGCTGGGTTCCCTCTTCCTGTTGAGAGCCATTGACAGACAGCTCAGTGTGTCTCTGTCTATCGATGCCTCTGGACCGACAGAGCCGGCCCTGCTTGTGTTTGGCCGCCACCGCTAAGCTGATTTACAAAAACCACTAAACCCAATCAGTGTCTCATCTGGTCCTCGTTGTGTGTTTGGACCTGCTGATGCCTCTTCTCCCTCTGGAAGGACTTCCACAGGTTCTGGAGGAGGCTGTAGCTCTGCTGCTGCTGCTCCTCCTGGTTCTGTTTCTGATGACTCGAGCTGTGATGGACATGGTTGTTGTAGTGTCGGTTCTGTTGCTCGTTGTTCTGATTGTTGCGGTGCCGGAGAGATACGGACCTGTGGTAGGTTGCGGCTAAGGAGACGGATGGAAAAATGTTAAAAAATGCGAAACATTTTCGAGACGCTCAAAGCTCCTCCGTCACGAGTACTCACGGGTTGTGCAGGTGACTTTGGGAGCGTCCCATTGGCCGTTGGCCCGGCAGCGTATGGTGGGGGCGTATCTCTGGATGAAGCCCGGTTTACAGTGATACCGGAGCAGCGAGTTCATTTCGTAGCGAGGCTTCATGGCCCCGAACACACGAGCATCCTTCACCACAGGGGGCTGCCCACATGAGACTGATGGTAGGAAACAGAAATGATTTATTATTATAATTAAGAAAACAATTATTGAGTTATTTTGATTATTATTGACACTTCTTGTCTTACACAGCGATACATACTTTTATCTATTTACTGTTTTATATGACTACACCTGTATACAGTTATAATTGTATCTTGTTCTGAAAACTCAAATAAAATATAAATCATAAATAATTCATAAATTATTGCTTTAAATGCGTCAAAGTCGCCGTAAAAACGGAATAATTCAGATTCAGATTTTAGTGTGTTTGTATTGTTTAGCTCATTTTAAAACAGGAAACACATTTCTGCCAGTAAAAGGACAAAAAATAAAATGGAAACTTACCATTGATTAAAGAATTTGTATGTTATGTCAAAATAATGATAAAAACTTTAAAATATTAGATCATTTTGACTTTTTATCTCATAATTTTTATCTGAACTTTGACCCAATGTGAACATTTATTTATTTTCTTCTTATATTTTTATTTATTGGCAGAAACGGGCATTCACAGCTCTACCAGATGTGTTACAGAGAGTGTGCGTGTGTGTGTGTGCGCGCATACCTGTTCCCTTTTTGCAGGTGAATGTCAGGTGATAGTTGCAGGGCACGTCATTCCACTGGCCCCCCTCGTGCCAGATCATCACCACACAGTCCTCTCCGGACTGGAAGAAGCTGTCCGGCTGGTTCGGCCTCCAGTGGTCGTATTGCTGCCAGAACACACATTTAATAAATAAATAAATAATAAATGTCCCAGTAAACACGCAGGTTTAATCCCGGACGTCGGAAGTAATAAAGTACAAATACTTCGTCACTGTACTGCAGTTCTTTTAGGTGTTTTGACTTTATTTTTCTGTCAACTTTTTACTTTTA